ATACTTTGAATATTACATGTTAATAACTTGATTGGAATTATAACCTTGAGTTGACAGTTTGATACTTTGAAAATTTTGAGCCAGCCCTACCCCAAAGGGCTGTAGGGTGGGGCCCAAAGGAGTCAGTGTGCTAAAATTTCTTCATTTTCCTTGTTTAGAATCAGAGGTGCTAGTTTCAAATACTTTTTAGTCTTAAATCTGTATGCTAGATATTGAATAAGGTGGTTTTATTGTTTTTTGTCACTTTGAATGATATTTCTGTACATGTTAAAAACAAAATCAACTCTCTGTATAAATATATCAGGTGACCGTTAAGGCCCATGGGCCTCTTGTTAGCTCACCTGGCCCAAAGGGCCAGGGTGGTGATATTTGGCCAGAAGCAAACTGGGATAAAGGGCTACTAAGTTTGTTCAAATAAATGACCTTCACCTATTTTCAAAGTCACAGGGGTCAAATATGTTAAAAAATTTAAATGACTTCTTCTGAATAACCAAAATGCCCAGAGTGATGATTTTTGACTAGTAGCATGCTAGGATAAAGGGCTACCAAGTTTGTTGAAATGAATGACCTTCATCCATTTTCAAGGTCAAAGGGGTCGATATATTTAAAATCTTTATACAACTTCTTTTGAATAACAAAGAGGCCTAGGCTTATGATATTTGGCTAGTAACATGCTGTGATGAAGGGGTACCAAATTTATTCAAATGAATGACCTTGCCTTATATTCAAGGTCACAGGGTTCAAATATGTTAAAAACCTTTAAACAACTTCTACTCAATAATCGCAAGTCCTAGGATGATGATATTTTGCCAGGAACATGCTAGGATGAAGGGCTACAAAGTTTGTTCAATTAACTGACCTTGACTTATATTCAAGGTCACAGGGTCAAATATGTTAAAAACCTTTAAACAACTTCTTCTGAATAACCATTAGGCCTAGGGTGATGATATTTGTCTAGTAGCATGCTGGGATGAAGGGCTTTAAAGTTTGTTCAAATGAATGACCTTCATCTTTTTTCAAGTTCACAGGGTCAAATATGTTCTTAACCTTTAAACAACTTCTTCTGAATAACCAAAATGCCAAGGGTGATGATATTTGGCCATTAACATGCTGGGATGAAGGACTACCAAGTGAATGACCTTCGCCCATATTCAAGGTCACAGTGGTCAATATATGTTTAAATCTTAAAATGATTTGTTCTGTATAACCAAAAGGTCCAGGGTAATGATATTTTTCCAGAAGCATGCTGGGTTGGAAGACTATAAACTCTGTTCAACCTAATATTATAATCTCCTTGTCGACATTCAAGGTTACAGGTGTCATATGTTTAAATCTTTTAATATATTCTTATGAAAGAAACACTGATATTTTGCCTGTAACTGTATTTTAGTCCACTTTTAAGATGACAAGTGTGAGATTAATACCAGGTGAGCGATGCAGGCCCATTGGGCCTCTTGTTCTTGTTCTTTTTATATAACTGCACTGACTTTCTATATTGGAGAACAAGCTATACATTATAATTAAAAAACTTGTTATTCTGCCACAATTTCTCTAGCCAAAGTTTGTCATAAAAAGGGGCTTGTCAATACAACAAGGAATAACTTTATTTAGTAATTGTTAATGTGTTGACTGTAAGTGAGGTGCCCAATGGAAGTCGGGACATTACATCAAGGTTTGGCTGTATGTTTTAGTTAGCTATGTTTGCAGTTATACAATTAATTTATGCTGTTTTAACTTTAAAAGTGTAAACTTGAGTTGATTTTTCATGGCAAAAGCTATTTTTGAACATGTGCTATTAATCACATATTTACAGGAGAAGTACTGCATCATGCTGTTTGTATGCCAAAAATAAGAATCATATATTACCTTTATAATCTTATTACAGGTTTGTCTACTTGCATAAGAAATTCATTTCAGGTTACTTTTTTGTTTTTGTATAAATATTTTTTTCCCTTTAATATGGTCTTATGTTTATCTTATCACCTTAGGTTATCAAATTAATGCTTTCAATATAGTATTCACTTCCGGATGTCATCAGTTAAGTTAATAAGTCCAAATTAGCACTTGAAAAATGATATCTAACCTTTTTAGTGGGAAACACATAAATATTATGAAATACAAGCAGTTGTGATATATTTGTTAATTCCTTGTCTTTTCACAAAAATTACTGATTTAATTTATTTCGCTGTTGCCTGGAAGGTTTGAACTTGATTCTGTTAAATTGTTCATATAGTCAGGCTGAGTGTACTTATATCTGGAGTTCCAGTCTGCAAGTAGGAAAATGCAAGGAAGTAAACATAATAGGAAAACAATAGCACACACATTAGTTTATCCTGTATAGGATGACACTTATCCAGAAGAACAGTTAATGATTTTTGATATTTCAGGAGGACTTGAGCTGCTATGACTGGTTTAGAAGGAACATGACACGACAGGAAGGTGACACAAAGCTCAAACAGAACAGTCAGGTAAGTCAATACTGATCTATACACGACAAGAGACTTTGGTGTAACCTGTCTTATTTTAAGCTTGTTATCACACTCGACAATCGCATAATACAATTAATTGTCGCTAAATTTAGCACCCATCAGCTGGAAAGAAATACTTTTATAGGTGCAGAGTACACAATTTCATTTTGTGAATTTTGTTTTTGATTTTGCCGCAAGATGTTTGCGTTTGGTGTCTCAAATATAAACAATATGGCGACAACTTAATTTGATATGAACACTCGCAAATTCATCACCAAATATCTATTTAGACTTATGGAAGTAAATATGAATGTTTTAATACAACTCTTAATGAAATCTATTTGTATTATGAAAAAAAAAATAATGACTTTGTATTGGGAACTTGCACTACAACGCTATTTTGAATACAATGTTTCGTATCGTTTGTTGCCGGACAGATGTCGATTTCTCAGTCATAATCAGCTGCCAGTTAGTCATACTGCTGCGAAACAGAAGATGTGACGTCTATAAACCAAAACATGAAACAATATTTATTCACGGTTACATGTTTAATTCTTGCAGCAATTAGGCCTCGTCTAAAAAGTACATTAATAATCCACCATTTTGTTATCTGAGTGCGAGTCTAGTGAGGACATCCAGACCGGATTTGGGGTACGGAAAGAGTTAAGGTGCTAATATGGATTATTATAGATCAACTTCCCTGTTATCGGTGTTATGCATTTCAATGGTTTCAGTAAGACTACAAGTATCCTTGTGAAATGTAAATACTGATTAACTGACAATATATGTTGTACGTGATGCATTTCAATAGGGCCATATTAAATTTGTTTTAATATTTTACCCTCAGAAAATAAAGTATTATTATTACACACCCTTCACATCAATTGTACTATGAACACATGATTAGTAAAACGTAGCAGAACTGGAGAAAGGTTTGTAGAACTACAGAAGATATGTTTGTTTTGATCAAGGCTACTTACCCTTTTTAGCTACCACAGGAGATAGCTATAGAGTACTACAGCATACTACTGAGATGTACTTGGTTTCAACATATTTCACCGCCAAAATGTAGTGGGGAGGGCCACAAAATTGAGTTTTTCCCAGTACATCTTTGAACTGTTTATAACTACCATATCTCAGTTACACTTTCATTTGTGTTTTGTTATGTAGAGCAGAGGTTTAAGTGAAACTTTTCTGATTGGACTTAAAGTGAATATTCTAATTTGATAAATGTATTTAGATGTCTTTGTTTTCTTCCAGAATGGAATGTTTGCTATAAGAGAGTCCAACAAAAAGTCAGCAGACGGTGATCCTCGACCTTACACACTCATGATATTCAACGATAAGAAAGTCTACAACCTGCCCATACGGAAACGTATATCAGATGGACATTATGCCATGGGAAATCCTAAACCTAGGGAAGAGGTAAGTACAATGTTCCCTTGACTTGTCTATATGTTTCCTCTATGAATGTGACTCGGGCTCATCGTGTGGAGTTTTCGTCTGTCACAACATTAAAATGTTTAATATCTTACCCTCTTATAGCAATGATTGAAAAAACACTACTAGAAACATGGCTAGACTAGTCTAGCCACTAGTCGGAGGCTGGTGAAAATTTCAAGCTGAACTAATGGTTCTGAAAACTGCTCATGTTGAATTATAATGGGTTTGTAAAATTGTGGAGTAGTAAAACTGGAAACTATAAGCCCAGTTGACAATTGGTTAATTTCTAGCCCTGTAGAAGCAATGTATACACTTGGGATGTCAAAGGTAGTCACAAGATCTCTTTGTTCAAATTATCAGAAATCTTTGTTTATTGCTTTTTTTGGGAGAGTGTACATTGTTCAAGTAACATTCTTTACAGTGTGTCCAAGCTTTTAGTATTATCAGCCACCATGTTGTTTAAGTACCAGTAATTAAGTCCCTTCCTACAGTGTTTTTGTATATGTTTCAGACCTTTCCAAAACTAGCTGACTTGGTGGCTTTTTTCTCCAAAAGGATGATCGTGTTGGCTGGGAGTGGACAAACACATCTAAAAAAGCCAATACCTTAGCAAAGGATGGATGGCTTATTCTCCAATGCACTTTGTAAACTGATGTCATGGACCTTAAAATGTTGTTTAGCCAATTATAAAACTGCCATTCAGAGGACTTTCAAATGCTTAGTGGACATGAATAACCTTGAAATGATCAAGGTCAAGGTGCATGCAGGGGCCTTAAAGTGATATTCATATATCCTGGAGTTGCTTTTAAGGGGACAGTTGAGAGATAGTGCAATTGATAGGAATAACAGGAAAGTGCACATGGACAATCATCATTTCATGTTTAAATATATGAACAGTGGTCTTAGACCACTTGTTATATATACACAGTCATCTAAGGCATAGCCTTATCTGTGGTCTTAGACCACTTGTTTAAAGTAGATCAGCAATATCTTGGCAACTTACCAAAAGTCAGGCCACATATCTTGGCAACTTGTCTAAGGACAGGCTATATATTTTGGCAATATGTCTAAGGTCAGGCCACATATCTTGGCAACTTGTCAAATGTCAGGCCATATCTTGGCAACTAGTCTAAGGTCAGGCTATATCTTGGCAGCTTGTCTAAGGTCAGGCCATATCTTGGCAACTTGTCTAAGGTCAGATAATATCTTGGCAACTTGTCAAATGTTATGTCATATCTTGGACACTTGTCAAAGGTCAAGCCATATCTTGGCTGCTTGTCTAAGGTCAGGTCATATCTTGGACAGTTGTCTAAGGTCAGATAATATCTAAAGTAAGGCCATATCTAGGCAGCTTGTCTAAAGTCAGGCCATATCTTGGCAGCTTATCCTAAGTCAGGTCATATCTTGGACACTTGTGTAAGGTCAAGCAATATCTTAGCAACTTGTCTAAGGTCAGGCCACATCTTGGACACTTGTCTAAGGTCAGGCCACATCTTGGTAGCTTGTCTAAGGTCAGGCCATATCTTGGACACTAGTGTAAGGTAAGATCATATCTTGGCAATCTTGTAAGGTCAGACCATATCTTAGCAGCTTGTCTAATGTCAGGTCATATCTTGGACACTTGTCTAAGGTCAGGCCATATCTTGGCAACTTGTCTAAGGTCATGCCATATCTTGGCAATCCTTTAAGGTCAGGTCATATCTTGGCAACTTGTCTAAGGTCCGACCATATCTTGGCATCTGGTCTAAGGTCAATTTATATCTTGGGACACTTGTCTAAGGTCAGGCCATATCTTGGCAGCTTGTTTATGGAATAGCTGTGCCATTGACAGCGAATACATGTTCTAAATTGATGCTGATATCCCAGTGAAAACAAACCCCACAGTATTTCGTTATTTGACAATGTATTGTGCTTCCCTTTGTATATAAGGAAAGTTGTTTTAGCGAAAGTGTTGTTCTGAAGGGTAATGTATACATTGACATTTATGCTCAAGGAAATGAACAATTATTGCAGTGAGCTGAATTTAAATATCCCGAAGAATATGCTGTAGTGGGGCGTCCGTTGTCCGTCCGGCATCAATGCTTTACTTTAATCTAAAGACCTTCACCAATTTTCAAGGTCACAGGGGGTAAAATATGTTAAAACTTTAAACAACTTCTTCTGAATAACCAAAATGCCAAGGGTGATGATATTTGACAAGTAGCATGCTTGGATAAAGGGTTACTAAGTTTATTCAAATGAATGACCTTCAATCATATTAAAGGTCACAGGGATCAACTGTCTTAAAAGAAAACTTTATACAACTTCTTCTGTATAACCAAAATGCCAAGGGTGATGATATTTGACAAGAAGCATGCTGGGGTGAAGGGCTACCAAGTTTGTTCAAATGAATGACTTTCACTTATATTCAAGATCACAGGGGTCAATTGTCTAAATTTTGTTCCAATCAATGATCTTGGCATTTATTCAAGGTCACAGGGAACCTTTTACAACTTCTTCTGAATAACCAAAATGTTGAGTATACAATTGAAGGAATTTAAACCAAATTCAGTCTGAAGCATGCTTTGGAACAAAGGAATCAATTTTGTTTAAACTGAGGTGTGTTGGCCCCCTTCTTTGTGACAGATGGGTGGGGCCCATTAGGGGAAATAGAGGAAAACATTAAAGATCCTTCTCCTTTTGTACCAATGAAGGGATTTTAACCAAACTTGTTTTAGAGCATCTTTTGGTAAAGGGAATTTAATATCTATAAATGAGGAAGCTCATTTTCTTGGTGTTTTACCTACCAAAACATATTTACATGTAGATGTTCTTGCAACTTTGTTTCTAGTACTCCTATGATAAAACTGTATGGTACTCAGCAGGTTTTAGATTGAAAATAAAATACCAGGTGAGCTATTAAGGACCCTCAGGGCCTCTTGTTAATGTCATCCTGCTATTTATTTCTGTGACAAGTCTCGCTCGTTCTCCATATTGAGGTGGTATATTTGAATGAGTGTGAATGTGTACACACAAGACTTAACAGAAACAAATGCTTAGGTATATAATTAAGGTCCATTTAAATTTGTGATGGTTTATAACACTTTGAAGCAGATTATCTACTTTGTCAAGCTTTAACACATATTTTAACCTGAACCAGATCATCAGCAACCACATTCCATCTGATGTTTTGAACATTTGAAGTCTCTTAATACAGCTTACTTGTTTTGAAAATATGAATGAAAAAAGCAAACAGAGCTAAGAAATATATGACTGCTTTCTCACATGTGGAACCTAACAAAATAATTTCGGTATGAATTACTAGCTTGTGTTCCGTTAATCCATGTAGTTGTATCCTTGTATCCTAACTAATCCAGACTGTGTCCCAGTTTATAGATTCTGGTTTTAAATACAGCATTCATAATCATCTAAGAAACTGGATACATATTGACTTTGCCTGGTATTATTTTTAAGCTTTATGTATTATTGATAATCTGGTACACCTCCTGTATCATGTTAAGAAATATGTCTACGTATACCTGTATTGGTAAGGTGTTTTTTTAACATGAATCGGAATATATCGGAGCAATTTTGGATCCATTTTAGAATTTTACTAGATATGCATGTATATACATGCATAGTCTATTTTTATACTGAAACATTCCTACCTAATAAACTAAATTCCTATATGTGTTATGCAAAATAGAAGCAAATTAAATGTATTTTTGCTACTACATATATTTCAGGTATAAACCTTTTTATGAATTTTGTATTCATTGTTGAACTTGTTTAGGATTATAGGTCATTATGTTAATTTATGCAAATCAGATGCATGCTTGGGAGCCACCAGAAGAGAAGACATTTTTACATCAGTGTATATCATTGAATATTTATGAGAACAAATTTAAATAAAGCACAACCTACATTTTTCTTCCGATTTATCTTCTATTTAGTTTAAACTTTGTGTTTCTATTCATTGGATTTGAAAACAAACATTGAAATAGTAAAACAACAATGTTCTAATACAAAGATTTTAAGGAAATGATTGTAAGATTTTACAACATGATCAGGACTGGATACAAAAATAATGCTAAAACCTCTTCTTGTCAAGCTATGTAAACCTTTGTTTTAGTCTTACTTAAGAGGTTTCATGTATTACTTACTAAGGCCAATACATGTTCTTAACCATAATTTACAGATCATCACTACCATGATTGCTCTTAGATAATGGTCACATCCAGAGGCCAAAGACAAATTTTATTTATTTACACATTAAATCATAAACCATAAGTATTTCTGAAGCTTCAAAAGCACAATGAATGGGTAAATACAAATGAGAGGTGTGCTTTTGCAGAGGTGTAAAATCTACATGCAAGATACATGTATACCTGATGGCCAAGGCAACAATTTTTTTGGACTCAAACAAATTCAAAAATCAAACGCCCTGGCGAAGTACAATATTTTGCTCATTTACAAGCTAATGGTCATTTAAACAAAGAACATGGGGTCATAACATATAGACTTTCAGTGCAGACAGAACTGTTTTTAATGGCCACTTGGCATTGGTAATTACTTAAATGATTTTCTGGCTCTGATTTTCCAAATAAACATGATAGTATTTCACTTTCTTCAGTTACTATCTCATAACCTATAACCTTTCAACAAGTACACGGTCAATTAAGTTGAAATAGCTGATGACAATTTAGTGAGACTTTATTTCACCTGTCTGATTATTGAACATCTACATACCAAACACATCCTATCAAAAACCATGAACAGAAACTTTTAATGTATTATTTGATGTCTTTATTCAGTGAAGATATGGAAAACATAGCATTAAAAATCAACATTGAATTTATTTAAAAACTGTTTAAAAAAAGATTTTTTATTTCGTTATTAATGGTCGGACCCTTTGTCCTTTTATGAAGTTATACTACCGAAACAGGTATTATAAAACTGGTGAAATTGCAACAAATTCTCCATTGTTGACATGCTGTCATGTCATTATTTAACAGCAAATATATTATAATTTACTTCTGCCAGCTTACACTTCCCTGATGCTGTTTGTTTTGATATTTATCAAAATACACGATCATACATTGTGAAATCTGTTCAATCCTCTGTGTATCCTTGAGATTCTACATATTCTAAGGCTTTCCTCCTCACATTTTCTACTGTCTCAGAATCTCCATAATCTTTCTCAAAGTCCAAATACTTCTTGTAGAAAAACTTCATTTTTTTTGCTGACTGTTTCAGATGTATCACTCTCTCAAACAGTTGTCTGTAAAGATAAAAGAATTATTATATATTGTGTTATTTTGATTTATTTCAAAATTCATACCAAAGGTTACTTTATTTCACACAAACGAACTGACCTTAATGTACAAAGACTTTAAGTTGTGTGTCACTTAAAGTGAATGCCATCTTCTGAATAACCACGAGTCCTAGGATAATGGTATTTGGCCAATAACATGCATGGATAAAGGGCTATCAAGTTTTTTAAAACGAATGACCTTCACATATATTCAAGGTCACAGGGGTCAAATATGTTCGAAACCTTTAAAAAACTTCTTCTGAATAACCAAGAGGCCTAGGATAATGATATTTGGTCAGTAATTTGCTGGGATGAAGGGCTACTAAGTTTGATCAAATGAATGACCTTTACTTATATTTAAGGTCACATGGGTCAAATATGTTAAAAACCTTTATACAACTTCTTCTGAATAACCAAGAGGCCTAGGGTTATGACATTTAGTAAGTAGTATGCTGGGATGAAGGGCTACCAAGTTTGTTAAAAATGAATGACCTTGACAAATATTCAAGGTCACAATGGTCAAATATGTTTAAAACAATTTCTTCTTGATAACCCATAGTCCTAGGATAATGGTATTTTGCCAGTAACATGTTGGGATAAAGGTCTACCAAGGTTGTTCAAATAAATGACCTTCGCCCATATTCAAGGTCACAGTGGTCATTATATGTTTAAATCTTTAAATTACTTAAAAATATTTTGCCAAAAGCATGCTGTGTTGGACATTCAAGGTCACAGGCATCATATGTTTAAATCTTTTAATAGGTTCTTATGAATAAAACACTGATATTCTGCCTGTAGCTGTATTTTAGTCCACTTTTAAGATTACAAGTGTGAGATTAATACCAGGTAAGCGATCCAGGCCCATTGGACCTCTTGTTGGGCATTGTGTAGTTAACGCATGAACTTTTTTTTATTTTTTAATCAATTCTGTTCAAATATTGTACGTTAATGCTATAAGACATTATATTAAACCCATATTACAGGTTTTTCTGTCGAATTTCAATTTTCTGCGTTTTGGCGTATCACATTTGACATAGCAACAATGTACTTCATTTTTGCCGTTAACTTTTCCTTGTTTACATAAAATTTGTTTCTGTGCGATAACTTTAGTTTCTTTAGGTTGATCGAGCTCAGACTTCATACAATGCTTTCTTACAAATAGTGCTTACTTGGGATCGCTTTTAAAGTTCAAAGGTCAAGGTCACCGTTACTATAAATGGAAACTTTGTTTCTGTTCGATAAATTTAGTTCCTTAGAACTCAATCTTCATATGGTACTTCCTTACTAAAAGTGCTTGCGTGGGATTGCTTTCTCATTAGCGTTGCATGCGCAGGTGACACATCCACTCCTCGTCTAGTTGTTAATGTTTGTGTTTTAGGTTATTGAAATCTTAAATATTTGGATTTTGATATCTTTACACTAACCTTGCCTCTTGACAGTCACCCAACTTGACCACCATGTCCAGGTAAACTGACCACAAATCTGTTCTTTTAGGGTAGTTACCCAATACGCTCTCAAACATGGTCCGGCCACGTTCTGCATCTCCATACTTAAACTCCAGCTGGGCGTTCTTTGCTATTGTTTCCACGTCTGTAACAAAATGAAAAACAAACCTCTAGATGAATGTCAAATCAGTTGCACGAGTCTAAAGATATGTCTTTCTAATTTCTTTAAAGAACATGTACAAATCTATACAAAGGTGTAAGATAAACAAGAGGCCCAGAGGGCCTGTATATCTAAGCAATCATGACAAAACATTCTCCAAATGACTCAGATACTAGGTCCCTAGTCCCTGACTTCCATGAATGCTTCCGAACAATATGATTGATATCCATGGCATAGTTCTACAGAAGAAGTCGTTTATTGCAATATAGCCAAATTGCCTCCTTTTGGCCCCGCCGTCAGCCCCACCATTTGTACAATTTTGAATCATGCCAACTAGGGGTACTTCCAGTCAAATATGGTTGATATCCCTCTCTTAGTTCCAGAGAAAAAGTCGCTTAAAGCAATATAGTCAAATAACCCTTTTTGGCCCTGCCCCTCAGGCCCCCTTAGGGATCAGCCACACCATTTGTACAATTTTGAATCCCTGCCTCGAATGAATGCTTTTCATCAAATATGATTGATATCCAGTGCATAGTTCTACAGAAGAAGTCGTTTGTAGCAATATAGCGAAATAACCTACTTTAAGCCCCCGCCCCTCAGCCCCCTGGTGGGGGGGGGGGGGGGGGGGGGGTCAGCCCAACCATTGGTACAAATTTGAATCTCTACTACCTAGGGATGCTTCCATTTAAATATGGTTGATATCCATCTGAATTCCAGAGAAGAAGTCGCTTAAAGCAATATAGTCAAATTGCCCCCTTTTGGCCCCACTCTCAGCCTCTGGGGGGTCAACTTCACCATTTGTACACTTTTGAATCTCCACTACCTAGGGATGCTACCAGTCAAATATAGCTGATATCTATTTCTTAGTTCCAGAGAAGAAGTCGCTTAAAGCAATATAGTCAAATTGCCCCCTTTTGGCCCCACTCTCAGCCTCTGGGGGGTCAACTTCACCATTTGTACACTTTTGAATCTCCACTACCTAGGGATGCTTCCAGTCAAATATGGTTGTTATCCATATCTTAGTTCCAGAGAAGAAGTCGTTTAAAGCAATATAGCCAAATTGCCCCCTTTTGGCCCCGTCCCTAAGCCCAACCATTTGTACAATTTTGAATCCCTACCACCTAGGCATCCTTCCAGTCCAATTTAGTTGAATTCCAAGGAGTGGTTAAGAAGAAGTAGTCATTTAAAGAAATTGTTGACGCACAGACGACGGAAGCCACGGTATGACATATGCTCATCATGGTCCTTCGGACCTGATGAGTTAAAAATAAATCGACAAAATGGTTATACAATCTTAAATTATAGATGATATAACAGTTACCTTACAGATACCAAACCTAAATTAAGGTAATAGGATTGTGTCACCATTTCTCGGTAGATTTTCTTAAAATTTTGTAGTTATATTGCTTTGAAGTAAAGAAAATTGTCTGCCACAAAAAAAAATATAGGTTGTCAGAATTAGAAGGATTTTAAATGGAAATTTATGTAAAAAAGAGTGAATTTTGAAGAAAAAAATGAAACACAATATTTTGCAAAATAATGTTAATAAAAATGATACTGACATAGATAAGTATTGCATTAATGTATATCAATTTCATAAATGCTGAAATTGTGTAAAACTAATTATCGATAAAAAATAAAAATAAATGACATTTTATAACAAAACCATATACACATAGTAATTGCATGTAAGAGTTATCGTTCTTGAAAAACTTGACAGTAGTGAAATAGGTAGTCGGTTTCCTTAAGTACAGAAAAATGGACACATGTGACTCATTGATTAAAAAACAACTGAATTAATGCCTGGATTGCTATGAAATACTTTAATATTGAAAGAACACACTGTTCTGTCAATAAACAACATACAATATTCATCAGTTTAATATTAAACATTAGAATATGGAAAAACTGATGTAGTATTACCAGCGTCTACTAGAATTGCTCCAGTTAGGAACGTTTCTCGGCAGTAAGATTTTGGGATCAAAGGAAAAATTCAAAATAGCGTAGGACGTTAACGCTTAACGTTACAGAAAAACTGAAGACAGCTGATTCATTGGGATGGAATTTCACATCGACTGCAAAAAGATTTTTAAAAAATAGTTTAAAAATGAAAAAGTTGAAAAATTGATGACCTTTGATCCGACACGGAGGATTTTAATTGGACATTTTTTCTAATGACATTTTTGTGAGAAAAAGTTAGTCCCAAGCAATATCTGCAAATGATATCAGGCATAAATGCTGTATAATAAACGGTTTTCAGATATGGCGGTTTTAAGATTTTGACATATGTCATGGCAGCCATATTTGATTTTTGTCGTACTCGAAAAATGTTGCAATAACATCTGTAAATCATGGCCTACAATATACCTGAAAGACTTTGAACATGTCTGCTACCAATCAAAAGATTTGAATGCAAAAATCTCACGAATCTGATGGTGAAAAGCCCTCATAATAAGAACAACACTTTCGACCCCTATGACCTACAAATCCATTTTTCCACTATGATTCTGCAACAAAAATACTCCTCTTTGCTTCTTCATAATATAGAAAAAGATTGTTCAATAAAATATGCTTTGTTTGTGTCTTATTATAAATCAAAGTACTGAGAGTACTGAGAAAACTTCAAAATTGCACAAAAATGACTTTCACTTTTGAAATTATATTTAGAGTAGGTCAGGGTCATTCATTTGCACACACTTAAAACTCCTTCATTCAAGCATGCTTCTTGCCAAACATCGTTACCCTGGAATTATTGGTTATTCAGAAAAAGTGGTTTCAATATTTTTACATATATAACCTGTGACCTTGAAAGTCATTCAAGGTCAATCACTTATACAAACTTGATAGCCAATAACGTGACCATGTTATTTATCAAATAGTAGGACTCTAGAAGAAGTTTTTTGAGGTCATTATCTTGAAATAGCACATATGAAATTTGACCCCTAAATAACTCAAAAATATGCGCATTTGTGTTGTCCACATCATACCGGAATATAAAGAGAATATATCGAACAATTTTCGAAAATATTCTTGATTAAAGAAATTTATTTTTTTAAACATTTGACATTTGTGACCATTTGTTCACACCTGATACCCAAACAAGACTCTAGATCTTGTGGAACTTAAAAAGAAGATTTTTAGCTAAGGCGTTAGCCGCAAGCTATTGGTATTACTTCAGTAATGAGCTCAAGATATTCATAAATGTCATCTCCACCTATGCCCCCTCTAATGACAGCAGATAGTACTAAATTGAATCATATGCCGGACCTACTGTCTTTATTATGCATTACTTTGGACTCAAATTCACTTGAATGGCTTGTAAATATAATTCATATCCTTGGTAGAACATGTGATCTTATTACAACGTCGTATTCTTCTTGAAATTGCACCCTGTTTATTTCAATCGGGAAGTGCAAGTAGACTAGGTCATGCATGCTTCACGCAACTTCCTGTAAAATAATTCAGTTAATGAGCTCAGATATTCATAAACGAGACCTACGTCATTTACCAGTAATACTAAGCAAACAGCAAATAAAATCCATTACCACCAACTCAAGTTCACTCTAAAGTAACTAAATCTAATTGTATTCTTAGTTAGAACTGAGTATCCTACAACTTTGTATTCTTATGAAAAATACACTGTATATTTACTCTTGGAACTGTCGCTAGATTAAGCGGTTACACGGAAATACTGTCCTCTGATTGGCTAAAATGTGTGACTCTTGCATTTATGTCCCGGCCTACATTTATATATTGTGTGGTCAGAGCTATGAAGCGGTTCTGTTCCAACTAACTGAGCAAAATCAAAAGTGCTAATCTGTAATAATCAAAATATTACATATTCGTTGAAATAACAAATCCTTACTAAAAACTCTTAAAATAGAAACGACCGCCATGTTAGATCACGCGTGATGTTATTTCAATTATCCGTTTCCTTATATGGCCAAATATAGTATTACTACTGATGTCGTCATGTTTACTACAATTTCTATATATAGTCATAAAACCCATATTAGATGTACGACCTATATGCTAGGCCCTATCGGAAGACGGACGAAGTTTCCAACATGGCAGTCAAATCAGATTTCGATTGCACTTGCTATGTAAACTTGATAATTCCACAACGAACAAGCAGGGTATAACTTAAAATTATGTAATAGATCAACAGAAAAAGTTCATATTACAAACCTAATAGTGGATGTAGATCGTGTCAATTAATTCTAAAATCGCCCCGTGTGATTCACACCAGGCTTTGCTCAACTAAAGTAAATTTTGGCATGGGATCGCCCGGACGGGTATTAATATTAGTACTAACCCCTGGCCTTCTCTAGCTCCATATTTGTATTCTAATCTGAAACTTATTTTCCTTCACAGTATTACCGTTTTGTTCCATTTTCATCCTTAGATAAAGAGGTGTCACAAACGCCTGCTCGCTAACAGGTCGGCCAGAAACGAAAAATATGCGCCGATAAGTCTACATTTTGTTTGTCTGTTGGTGTGATTTGTGTATTTCATTTATTCGTCAAGAATTACCATATAACAGGATGATCTTTTTCATTATACACAATAACAACAAATGAATACTTGATGAAGATAAATCTATTTCGCCTTCGGAATGATTTCAGACATGTACTACGGGAAGAAGACGAGTGATCTCCCTTACATTAAGCCTTAATAGACATGCGCATATTTTACTTTCATTTTGTGTAGGCCTAGATATCGTTCGCAACGCGCGGTGGAAAAGACGAAAATGCAGGCGAGTGTTGTCTTTATATAAGGCAGGTTGTTTAAGCAGCATTGACATTGAACAATATGCATACATTTCGGCCACGTTTACCTACAACTGAGTCATAAATAAGGATCTGGATCCCGATTTCGGTGATTTGTGGCCAAGCATGACGCATGTTGTCAGCGGCGATGACAAAAAGGAAGGTGCTTCAACGTTATGTATAGCAGTGATTATGCAAAAACAAACAAAATGAATG